AGCTATTGTGTCTTCCGTGACGATTCGTAATTATTTCTGATAAAAGAAGCTGTCATTGAATGCAGTTTTGAATAACAAGTCATGTAATATGATTTGTCTTAAACTGATTTTATAAAGGCAAGAAGGAAGTCAGTCAATAGAGAGAGAGAGAGAGAGAGAGAGGAGAGAGAGAAAAAAAAAAGCGAATTTTTCTTTCCTTTGGCAAGAATTTGATAAAACCATCAATGTCTGGCTGTGGGTTTGACAGCTCGAGGGACATTTCTACTCTCAACTTCGTATGAAGTGTCACACTCATTTTTTGTGTCCCGCTAATTTGGTGAGAATATGCATATCAATTACCCATCACGGCTAACGCTACATATGTTTGTAAGATGTGCGGAGCAAAGGTCATCTGTGAAATGCTAATAAGGGGGAAAAAGACAAAAAAAAAAACTACTTTAGCAGCTACGGGTGATCTCTCCGTTCTGTGGATACACTCTGAGAAAAACTGTCTGCGTGTTGACATGTGGCGTATCCGATAAATATAGCAGGATAATTAATGCGGTAATTATTCAAAGACTCTTATTGCGGGGTCTGCTTTTTAAAAACAGCTGCGTAGGTGATTAAATTGTATCTTAAAAGTTAAATAAGCACTTTAGAGTAAAATAGAGTGATATTTATTAAGAGATATTAAAAAATGATAATCACATTTGAAATAACATTCATTTTGACATAATTCACGTGTGTATGCTGTGTATTTATTATGTACATATAAATACACATAGACAGGCATATATTTGAGAAAAAGTTTATTCATATTTAAATGTAAAATATGTGTAGATGATTATTATATATACGCATATTTCATATACAAATCATATATCTGTTTCTATATTTAAATATCTACGTAACAATTTTTTAAAAGAGTTATATTACTATATACACAATATATCACATATACATTACTTATACATTATACACACACTACCGGTCAAAAGTTTGGGGTCAGTTTTTTTTTTTTATGCTTTTTTTTAGAAAATGATTTTGTTCATCAAGGCAGCATTTATTAAATGTAAAAGAAAATGTTAAATATTTATTAAAATTTTTAATAACTGCTTTCTTATTGTATGTAATTTCAAATTAAATTATTAGTCATTATTGCTTTTATTTATACTACCATTAATAATAATAATAATAATAATAATAATAATAATAATAATAATAATGGCGACGCAGTGGTGCAGTAGGTAGTGCTGTCACCTCACAGCAAGAAGGTCGCTGGTTTGAGCGTCGGCTGGGTCAGTTGTTGTTTCTGTGTGGAGTTTGCATGTTCTGCCAGTATTCGCATGGGTTTCCTCCGGGTGCTCCGGTTTCTCCCACAGCTCCGAAGACATGCACTACAGTTGAATTGGGTAGATTAAATTGTCCGTAGTGTATAAGTGTGAATGAGTGTGTGTGGATGTTTCCCAGAGATGGGTTACGGCTGGAAGGGCATCCGCTACGTAAAAACATGCTGAATAAGTTGGCGGTTCATACAGCTGTGGCTACCCCGGATTAATAAAGGGACTAACCGAAAAGAAAATGAATGAATGAATGAATGAATAATAATTAACATTAAAGTAATTTCTAAAGGATCATGTGACTCTTAAGCCTGGAGTAATAAAGCTGAAAATTCTTCATTAAAATCACTGGAATAATTTATTAAATTAAATTATAAACTACTTTTGAATAGTTATTTTACAGTGCAATAACATTTCACAACTTTTACTGTATTTTTGATTAAAGCTTAGCAAAGATTAATCACCTCCAAAATAAAAGTTGTGTGTGTATGTATATATGTATGTTTTCATTTTTTTGCTTCTCTTGATTTTTCCTCCTTTTAAATTTTATATTTAATATTTTTCTCTAACATAAATCTGGGTGTACTAGTTTTAGGGACCGTTATCGTAAGTTATTTTGTTAGATAAGCTCCAGATTTGGCTTCAGTACAGACTAATCTAATGTATATGCACAAATTTAATATTGTATAGCTTCCTATTAAAATTTTGAATTATACACACACACACACACACACACACACACACACACACACACACTTACCAAACTTTTTTCTATTCTCACACCTACTAAACAATATGAATCATCATTTGTCTTTTTTTAACATAGTTTACTTCCAAATTTGTTTAAGTAACTTTTAAAACAGGCCATTTTTTGAATGAAAGAGATGCCATTGGTGTTTTGGGTTTTTTTTAGAAGAAGAAATAGGATAAGTCGGGCGGCTGGTGAACAGCTGGGAGAAAGCGTGAATTTAGCCCAATCTGCTGCTGCCCAGACGCTGGTTTGCGCCTAAAGCCCATTCAACACCGGGCAGCTTTGCATTAAACAGTGTTGCTTCTGCATGACTGGGTGCCAATGGCTGCCTTCTCTCTCTCTGTTTGCCCCTCGTGGCCCTGACCCGTCCTCACCCCTCACAGCCACCCACAACCGGGGAGAAGCACAGAGCCCCTGATTAACACCCTACCTGAGTCTCGGAGGAGCTCCCATCATCCCCCAGGAGCTCGTTCCGCACCTCATCACTGTAGGCAATACGTGACCTTTTCTGAGAGAAACAGACAGAAAAGAAAAAACAAGCATTAGTTCACTTGACTTGAACAAAAAAAGAAAGAAATCCGATTCATAAAGCACGAGAGCCCCCTGTTGGATCAGCAAACCAAACCAACATACTTACAGCAGGAGATAGACTAAGGCGTTTGTGTGTGAGTGTGTTAAGGAGAGTGTGTGCTTATGTGTGTGTGTTTTAAAGACTGTTTGTGTGTGTGTGCATGTGTGTGTTGAGAACTGCGTGGTTTGTGTGTGTTTTAGGTAGTGTGTGTGTGTGTGTGTGTGTTTCTGTCTGTATGAGTGTGTATTTGTGCTCTGCGCATAGTGTGTGTGAGTGTTTGTACTGTATATGCATGCTGATGTGTGTGTGTGTGTGTGTGTATGCATATTTATGTGTGTGTGCACAAGAGTGTGCATGTTTGTGTATGTGTGTGTGCAGATGAGAACGTGTGCATGTATGTGTGTCTGTGTGTGTGTGTTGAGAAGAATCTGTCAGTTTATGCGTGTATCAAGGAAAATGTGTGCATGTGTTGTGTGGTTTGTGTGTTTGTTTTAAGAAGTGTGTGTGTGTGTCTGTATGAGTGTGTCGAGGAAAATGTTTGTGTATGTATTTGTGCTCTGGCGACAGTGTGTGCAAGTGTATGTGTCTGCAAATATGTATTAATGAGTGTGTATGCTTGGTCGTTTACGTGTGTGTGTGTGTGTGTGTGTGTGTGTGTGTGTGTGTGTGTGTGTGTGTGTGTGGGGTAGAGTGTGAGTTTATGTGCATGTCAAGGAAAATGTGTGCCTGTGTGTCTTTTGTATGTGTATATAAGTGTGTGTGTGAGACAGTGTGCATTTCTGTGTGTGCATTAAGATTGTGTAAGTTTATGTGTGTGTGTTTGTGTTTGTGTGTTGAGAACATTGAACGAGTTTATTTCTGCATGTGTTTTGAGGAATGTTGCGTGCATGTGTGTCGAGAAAAGTGTGTGGGTGCACATCTATTCATGTGTGCGTGACAGTGTGCGTTGAGAAGATTGTGTAAGTTTAGGTGTGCACATGTGTGTGGGTCTTTGTGTGTATGAGTGTGCTGAGAAAAATGTGCGTGTGTGTGTGAGTGTTGAGAAGTTTGTGTGAGTTTTTGTCCCTATGTTTGTGTTAAGTAGTGTGTGCGGGTATTTATGTGTATGTGTGTGCTCAGGAAAGTGTGAGTGAGTGTGATGATAAGATTGTTTGAGTCAAGCAGTGTGTGTGAGTATTTGTGTGTGTGTGTGTGTGAGACGGTTTGTGTTTGTGTGTGTGCGTTGAGAAGATTGTGTAAATGTGTAAGTTAAGCAGTGTGTGTGGGTATTTGTGTGTACGTATGTGCTGAAGAAAGCGCTTGTGTGTGTGTTGAGAAGATTGTGTGAGTTTATGTGTGTATGTATGTGTTAAGTAGTGTGTGGGTGTATGTGTGTGTGGATGAAAGTGTGAGTGTGTGTGTGTTGAGAAGATTGTGTGAGTTTGTGTGCATGTGTGTCAAATAGTGTGTGAGTATTTGTGTGTATATGTGTGAGATGGTGTGAGTTTGTGTGTGTGTTGAGAAGATTGTGTGAGTTTATGTATTTATGTGTTTAAAGGAAAATCTGTGCATGTGTGTGTCGTGAAAAGTGTGTGTGCATATATGTGCGTATGTGTGTGTATACATCTATTTTTTTTGCGTGACAGTGTGCGTTTGTGTGTGTGTGTTGAGAAAAAGTTAATGTGTGTATGCGTGTATTAAATAGTGTGTATTTGTGTGTGCTAGGAAAGTGTGAGTTTTGAGAAGATTGTGTAAGTATTTGAGCTCATATGTGTGTTAAGGAGTATTTGTGTGGGTACTTGTGTGTATGTGTGGGCTGAAGAAAGTGTGCGTGTGTTTGTGTGTGCGAGTGTGTGTATATGTCTTTATGTCAAGGAAAATGTGTATACGCGTGTATATGTGTGTTAAGAAAAGAGTGTGTGTGTGTGTGTGTGTGTGTGTGTGTGTGTGTGTGTGTGTGTGTGTGTGTGTGTGTGTGTGTGTGTGTGTAAATGTCTTTATGTGCGTATGCGTGTTGAGGAAGGTGTGCATGTATATTTGTGTGTGTGTGTGTGCACTTAAAGATTATGTGGGTGTGTTGAAGAAAGTGTCTGCATGTGTCTGTGTGAGGAGAGTGAACACATCTGTGTATGTATTAAAGAGAGAGTGTTGCATGTGTATACTTTTATTGTGTCTGTCTGTCTGTGTGTGCGTATGTGCGCGTGTGTGTGTGTGTGTGTGTGTGTGTGTGTGTGTGTGTGTGTGTGTGTGTGTGTGTGTGTGTGTGTGCACGCGCACAATCTAGTTTATGTAGTGGCTTGAGTGAACCGAAGCCCTCGGATACAATAGCAGAAGCCCCCCCTTTCACTTAAATAAATAAAAAGTGTAGAATGGCGGGCCGCAGTACAAGACAGAGGCAGGGAGCGTATTAGGAAAGTATCAGTTGTCAGAGGGAAATGTGTTCTGGGGGCTGTCACTGCTGTCAGTCCTGTTCTCTGGCAGACCCTGTGATAATACCGAGCCGGGGAGCTAGACAGAGAATAATTCATCACCCAGGTCGACGCGATTGGCGTGCCATCAGATTTCGGGCTCGTTCGCAGTTGGGGAAAAAGAATGGCGTGTCCAAAAAAGAAAACACACACACACACACATATATATATATATACACACACACTTCAGAGCGTGCCACCTCCGATTCAACAGAGTATGGCATGTTTACAAACACACCCGACCTCTTCAAATACCCTCCAAACTAAACACACACACTGGTGATGCGGAGGAAAAAGAGAAAGAGGGAAAAAAGCGGTGAGATAGCGTTTACCAAGAGCCCTTTGCTTCCCTGCGTTGGCTCTTCCTGCGGGTTGGCACTCTTCAGGTGCAGGCGAACCACGGGGAAAGCAAACAGCCCAATAAACTGCTATCCAAGAACTGCATTTTGTGATGCAATGCTGTGTCACAATTTCTGGAAGAGGATGCGGTCAGATCGTGGAGGATGTGACATGGGAATAAATATATATTATGAATAAAAGAAAGTGGAGTTTGTTTCAGGGAGTTTAACAGAGTCAATCATTTTAACTTTTGAAAAACTGTGGAAACAAGCAAAGTTTGGTTGAAATGGATGCAGTGCTTGTAATGTTTTGATCACAAATAGAAGTAGCAAGTATTAAAGTGTGAATATAGGAGTTGTGAGTTGTGAGAAAAGAAAGGAGAGTTCTGTCTTAAAAAGTGGAGTTTTTGCTAGTTTTTTAGAGACAGCCATTTCTTAATTCTTTAAATTGATAACAGCATTTGTTATATTTCAATCACAACAAAACCAGATGAAATGAAGCAAAAATAGGAACTTTTTGTAGATTTATTAAAAATAAACAATGGAAGTTTTTAATAATTCTCACAACTTTTAATTTTTAAGATGTTATTACATTTCTGATAATAGTCAAAATGTGTCTACAAAAGCAGGTAATATAAGGTAGAAATGTGGAATTTAATTTTTTTTTTAATGTTCAATACTTTAATAATAAATTTCAATTTCTGTGTCTGATATTTGATTTAAAAAAAATGAATACAGCATTTGTAATATACCCCCACATAAAAAAGAGCCAACATTTTTTATGAGTTTCATAATCCAAATATTTCCAATCATTTTAAATTCTGTAAATGTCTATAATGAATTTGCATCATGATACTTTTTTTTTTAAATGAAATGTAGTATTTATAGCATTTTGATTTAAGAAAATATAGATTTCTATATTTCTTTATTTTTCTAAATATTTTACATTTTAAATGTTTAATATTTTAATAATTTGATTTAAATTGCTGTCTTATATTTATTTTTCATGAATCTGAAAGTACACCATTTGTAATATTTTGATTACAAGTCTACAAAAGGTTATAATGTAGAAATGTAAGATTTTAGATTTTCTAAATATTATAATTTCAATGTTTAATATATGAATAATCGAATTTTAATTTGTATCTATCATTTACTTTTTGACCAGAAATACAGCATTTGTAATACAAAAACACCAAATATTGTAGCAAAAAAGAACAAACATTTTAATGAGAATCTTTAGTCAACAGTTTCCAAACAATTAAAATTCTGCAAATGTTTATATTAAACTTGCGCCATGATACCTTTTTTAAAACTAAATCTAGCATTTATAATATTATGATAAAACATAGCTTTTAGACTTTACTAAATTTTTTGAATAGATGTTTAATATTTTAATAATTTAATTTGAATTGCTATCTATTATTTACTTTTATGAATCTGAAACTACAGCCTTTGTAATATTTTGATCTCAAAAGCAGGTAATACAACCTAGAAATGGAGGATTTTACAATTTCTAAACATTTTAATTAAAATGTTTACTATTTTAATAACAAAATTTTTATTTCCTTGTCTAATATTTACTTTTTGAAAGGGAATATAGCATTTATAATATAAAAACACCAAAGATTGTAGCCAAAAAACATTTATGAGTATCATTAGTCAACAGTTTCCAATCCCTTTAAATTCTGTGAATATCTATATTGAATTTGCACAATGATACTTTTTAAAACTGAATGCACAATTATTTTCTAAGAGTGAAAAAAGAAAGGCAAATCTCTAAGTATTAAAAACGAATCTTCTTTAGTGAATTTATCACTCAAACATGGCCAATCATTTTAACTTTGCTTAATAATAAATTTCCACTTTTGGAAAGATCTGACGTTGCGTTATTTTGTTTTGCAGCGATATACAGTATATTGCGATATGAATGTAATCTCAGCAAATGATTTGAATAGCTCTATTTGGAAAGATTTCATTCAGTTAGATCGACTGGAACGATCAAATCGTTTTCTATTACAAGCAAAAATAAAAAGATAAAGATAGCTTTTTGGGGGGTTTTGTGAGGAGTATTCAAGTACAGAAATTGAACCATCAACATGGGTATTATTGTATAAATAATTAAGACATAATAATGTCTTCATATTTTAAT